CACCGTGCACGTAAATTCTATCTAAGAGATTGGATTTTAAGTGGAACCGCTTGTGACCCCTCCAGGCTTTTCTGGAAATTTATTTGAAATGATAATTTTGTCTAAGAAGATTGTTTTAACGATCTTTTTTTAGAATTATTGAATCGATTTAAATCACTAGTTTAATTTTTTGAGTGAAAAATTACTCGATTTCTCCAACAAATGGTATCAGAGCCGAAGGTTCGTCCTTTGGCCTGTTTGTAATTGTTATATTGAATACTATTATTTGAGTTTGTAATGGCATCAGACAATTTCACGTCAAAAATTACATCTGGGGCATCGGCTTCCTCGTCCATATGGTCAAGGACTCCAATGTCAAGTTCAAAACTGGCGGTGGAGATATTTGATGGTACTGGTCATTTCGACATGTGGCAAGGCGAGGTCATACACTTCCTTTTCCAACAGGGTCTTGACATTGCCATTGAAGAAAAGAAACCAAATGATATAGAAGAGAATGAGTGGAGTACCATACATCGGTTGGCATGCGAAACTATTCGATCGTGTTTGTCTAGAGAGCAAAAGTATGCTTTCAAAAATGAGACCTCTGCATGGAAATTGTGAAGAGTATTGGAATATAAATTTCTGAAGAAGAGTGGTCAAAATAAACTCCTTATGAAGAAGAAATTGTTCTGATTCGATTACCAACCAGGTACTACTTTGAATGAACACATTACTATGTTTAATCAGTTAGTAGCAGACCTGTTAAATTTAGATGTGAAATTTGAAAATGAAGATTTAGGTTTGATGTTGTTGTCATCCTTTTCTGATGAATTTGAACATTTGAAAACTACGTTACTTCATAGGAAGAAGAATGTGTCTTTAGATGTTGTATGTTCTGTTTTGTATAGTCATGAATTGAAAAAGCAGGATAAAATGAAAAAGAAAATAGCTACAACAGATGAAGCATTAGTGGCAAGAGTTCATCAATAAAAGCAATCAAAGGAGAGAAGAGGAAGGTCCAAATCGAAAAGCAGAGTTGCCAAAGATGAGTGTGCTTTCTGTCGTGAGAAAAGACACTAAAGAAAAACTATCCAAAGTTAAAGAAGAAAGGGAAAGCTCCGCAAGACGTAAATGTTGCAGAATGCAAAAGTGATGCGGAATCTCTTTGGCTATATCACCGTTAACATTCCATCCAAATGAGTGGATTTTGGATTCAACTTGTACCTACCATATGTCTCCCATGCGAGAGTGGTTCTTTGAATTTGAAGAACTTGATGGTGGAGTTGTGTACATGAAAAATGACAATCCATGTAAAACAGGTGGAATAGGTTTAGTCAAGCTGCGTAATCATGATAAATCCACTAAAATTTTGAAAGATGTTCGGTACGTGCCGAATTTGAAGAGAAATCTCATCTCCTTGGGACTCTTGGAGTCAAAAGGTCTGGAAGTGAAGATGCGAGATGGAATTCTTAAAGTAACTTCGGGAGCATTTGTGATGTTGAAAGGTATAAGAATAATCTGTATTACTATCAAGATAGTACAGTTATTGGGACAGCAGCAGCAACATCTTCCAGTAGCAAGAAGGATGTGGAGGCAACAAAGTTGTGGCACATGCTGGTGAAAAATTCTTGCAAAATCTGGTCAAGCAAGGATTATTGAAAGGTATGAAAGTTTACAAATTAGAATTTTGTGAGCATTGTGTGAAATTTGGCACTAGTATCCATAATATTAAGGGTATTTTGGATTATGTACATTCAGATGTGTGGAGACCTGCCAAGACTCCATCTCTTGGTGGCAGGTACTATTTTGTCACTTTTATTGATGATTTTTTCAGAAGAGTTTGGGTGTTTACTATGAAAAATAAAGATGAAGTGTTAGGAATTTTCCTTAAATGAAAATCTCAGATTGAAAATCAGACGGGAAGAAAGATCAAGACTTTTCGAACAGACAATGGTGGAGAATACAAGAGTAATCCCTTCTAAAAGATATGCCAAGAGTGTGGCATAGTTTGGCATTTCACAGTTAGAAGAACACCGCAGCAGAATGGGGTGTCAAAGCGTATGAACAAGACACTAGTGGAAAAAGTACATTACATGCTGTCTAATGTTGGGTTAGATAAAAAGTTTTGGGCTGAGACTGTGACATACGATCAATATCTCGTCAATCACTTGCCATTATCTACAATAGGTGACAAGACTCCATTAGAGTTATGGTTTGGAAAACCTGCAACAGATTATGATTCTTTGCGTATTTTTGGTTCTACTGCATATTTTCATGTAAATGAATCAAAGTTGGATCCACGAGCAAAGAAGTCTCTCTTTGTGGGGTTTAATAATGGAGTTAAGGGATACCGGTTATGGTGTCTAGAAGCAAAGAAAATCATTATCAACAGGGATGTTACCTTTGATGAATCTGCCATGTTGAATAAGGTAACACAAGATGAAACCAGTGGTACGCAACAGATGGAGTGTACGCTGAAACAGGTGGAGTTTGAGCATATAATGGTGAGTCCAGCAAACAGCACCATCAGTGACTCCCATGGCAGAAGAGGAGTCAGATGAGGAAGAGTTTCAACCCAAAAACCTCAACAGCAGCAAGAGTCGATTGCCGTCAATAGGCCAAGACGAGAAATTCAAAAACCTGCTCATTTTTTATGACATGGTGGCCTATGCACTTCCAATTGTTGATGATGTTTCATCCACCTTTTCTGAAACAATTCGAAGTACAGAAAATAATAGATAGAAAGATGCTATGGAAGAAGAGATGCAATCTCTTCAGAAGAACGAGACGTGGAAGTTGACACAACTACCAAAGGGCAGGAAGGTAATTGGATGCAAATGGATATTTGCAAAGAAAGAAGGATTTCCTGACAATAATAATGTTCGCTACAAGGCAAGATTGGTGGCTAAAAGCTACACTCAGAAGGAGAAAGTTGATTATAATGAGATATTTTCTCTAGTTGTTAAACATTCCTCTATTAGAATTTTGTTGGTCTTGGTAGCGCAGTTGAATTTAGAACTAGCTCAACTTGATGTGAAGACCGCGTTCCTTCACGGTGACTTGAAGGAGAAAATCTATATGTCTCAATTAGATAGATTCAAAGTTACTGGTAAAGAAAATTGGATTCGTAAGCTGAGCAAATCGTTGTACGGATTGAAACAATCACCGAGACAATGGTACAAACGATTTGATCAGTTCATGATGGGCCAAAAGTACACAAGAAACAAATACGATCATTGTGTGTATTTACACAAGGTACGAGATGAGTCATACATCTACTTACTCTTATATGTTGATGATATGCGGATAGAGTCAAAGAGTCAAGTTGAAATTGACAAATTGAAGGTTCAGTTGAGTAAAGAGTTCGAGATGAAAGATTTGGGAAAAATCAAGAAGATTCTTAGCATAGAAATAAGTAGAAATAAAACGAGAGGCAAGCTTTGTTTGACACAGAAGCAGTATTTAACAAAGTGCTACAACGTTTTAGTATGAATGGAGATTCAAAACCTGTAAGTACTCCACTTGCTCCTCATTTGAAACTTAGTAGCCTATTATCTCCAAAGACGGATGAAAAACGAGCATACATAGCGAAAGTCCTGATGCTAATGCAGTTGGTAGGTTGATGTATGCAATGGTGTGTACGAAACCTGACATTTCACAGACAGTTAGTGTAATAAGCAGGTTTATGCATGATCCGGGCAAGGGTTATTGGCAAGTTATGAAATGGATTCTACAGTATATCCAAGATGCTGTAGATGTTGGATTAGTATTTGAGCAGGATAAATCACTTGGTCAATGTATAGTTTGATATTATGATTCTGACTATACATGTGATTTAGATAAGCGACGTTCATCAACTGGCTACTTGTTTACATTTACCAAAGCGCCAGTTAACTGGAAGTCTACTTTGCAGTTAACAATGGCTTTGTCTACAACAGAGGCAGAGTATATGACGATTACTAAAGCTGTGAAGGAGGCAATTTGGCTTCAAGGATTGCTTGAAGACTTGGGAGTTGGTCAAAAATACATTGACGTGTTTTGTGACAATCAGAATGCTATTCACTTAGCGAAGAACCAGGTCTTGCACGCAAGAACGAAGCACATTGATGTTCGCTATCATTTCGTGCAGGAAATTCTCGAAGAAGAGGAGATTTTTCTCCAGAAGATTCGAACTACAGAGAATCCTGCAGATATGCTGACTAAGGTGGTTACAAGGTCCAAGTTTGAACATTTTTAGACTTGGTCAACATCTTGCACATTTAATTTGGCGCCTAAAGGCATAAATTTGGAAGCACTGCAAGGACCGTTTGTTATTTTTTGGGTGAAAAGATTTGTATTTTTGGGTGAGATTAGAAATTATGCCAAGGTGGAGATTTATTGAATTCAAAACCTCAATTATTGACTTTGAAATAGCCAAAATTGTTAAATTATTTGGCACAATTACAAATCCCACATTGGTGGGTTTATGAATTGGAGAAGATTTTGAGAGTTATAAATAAGCTCTCTATCTTCTCAATTAAAACACACCAACAAAAGAGTTATTTTGTAATTCTTTCATAATTCTTTCTTCTCTCAAAATTTATAAGAGCGGGTTGCTTGAGCGGTGTTCGGAGATTAGGTAAAATTGGCCGAACTCCGTTATTAATTTTTCGGGTGCGTTCTTTCCTTATTTCTTTTATTTATTTCGCATTTATTTAGTAGTTTCTTTTCAATTGTAGTATAGTATTCAATATATTTGTCGGATTTATTTGTAGTGTTTTATATGGTTCATTTGTGTGTATTTTCTTATTCGTGTGTATGTATTATTTATGTATACACGGGTCTAGTTGTGATAATATACCGTGCACATAAATTCTGTTTAGAAGACTAGGTTTTAAGTGGGACCGCTTGTGACTCCTCCAACCTTTCCTGAAAATTTATTTGGAATGGTAATTCTGTCTAAGGAAATTGTTTTAACGATCTTTCCTGAAAATTATTGAATCGTTTAAATCACTAGTTGAATTTTTTGAGTGGAAAAATACCCGGTTTCCCCAACACTGATAGGCCTAAACTCTTGCCGTCTCGAGGCTCCTTGAACGTTGAGAATAAGAATGAGCAAGGTGCTGGTGAACTCCCATGGTTGCTGAGCTCCCTTAAAAAAATCATGAACTGCCAATAACAAATCTTCCTGAATTATTTCCCAACAGCTCTGATAGAATCCTGCGCTAAAGCCATCGGGGTCAAGAGCACTCTCAGGACTTAGAGCAAAAACCAAAAAATAAAAGCAGATTTAAGAAAGCTGCAGAGCTAAATATAAGCATTTATCTATTAATTGATCCAGGAAATCTAGAAGAAAAGGATGTTCATGAAACTACTCATCTGACTCTAAATAAATAATCTACTTTTTAGAAAAAAATGTTAGTTGCCTATCATTGTCTTTGTCTTTCTCCTTTTTGGTAAAATACTTTTTTATAATCTCAAAAAGACAATGAAAAGATAAAATAAAGAATTAATATTAGTTGCCTTAGCTGCCTGTCTTTGTCTTTGTCTTAGTTTTTAAAGTAGACTAGATTACATAATGTATCAATATATCAATCTTAATTATTTATATGTCCAAAAGTGCTTTCAATTTTCTTTTTCAATAAAGCATTACTAATAAGTTCCAAACAATTAATTTTGAGTTCAATAATTTTTAATTGTTAGTTCAAAAGTTAATAAATGCTCCTGGGTACTTTATGTCAAGGTTCTAGTGCACATATGATGGAAAAAAGTGATACCAATCTAGCTAGATTGGAAGACAAAGAAGATGATGACATGGAAGGTGATTACATACAAGAAATTGAAGGCGAACTTGCGGAAGCCAAACCTTATGATGAACATAAGAAGGCTGATAATGAAAGCAAGGCATTCCAAAGGAAACCTAGGAAAAAAAACATAAAGTATTTGGGGCCATATAACAACAATTAAAGAAAATGATGGCACGCTGAAGAACCAATGCAATTATTGTAAAGATTTGCTGGCTTATAATGCTATTAGTACTGCAACAACTCACCTTTGGTACGTGCCGCTTGAAATATTGCTTGCAAAAAAAAATTGCAATGGGGAGCCTGATAAAAAGAAGCAGCAAATACTCGCTTTTGCAGAAATTAAGAGAGAAGGTATAAGTTCCATATCTAACTTCTCTTATGACCATGCTAAGGTAAGATAACTTGCGTCTCACATGGTGCTTGCTTGTGAGTATCCTTTTGAGATGATGTAACATGACATTTTCAACAAATTTTTGAAAGCTAATTCCCCATTTTACCAAAAAATCAGTTGTTATATTGTCAAGAAAGATTGCATAACAACTTATGAGAATGAGAAAAAAAGTTTGCAGACAGTATTAAATGGTGTTAGTAGATAAAGTATTACAACTGACTTGTGAAATCTGGGCAGAAAAAACAATGTCACTGGTCACTTTATTGATTCAAATTAGATGCTGTAGGAATGTGTGTTGAATTTTGTTAATGATCCATCCCCACACATGCTAGAGTACTTGTAGCTGATGCATTTAATAAGTGACTTACTAAATGGGGAATTGAGAATAAAGTGGCTTCTATTACAGTTGATAATGTTGCTTATAATGATGTGTGCATTAGAAGATTAAAAGATGATTTTTTGCAGTGAAAAGAGTTACTACTTGAGGGGAAGCTTTTTCATGTTCATTGTTGTGTGCATGTTCTAAATTTGTTGGTGCAAGATGGCCTTGGTCAAATAGGTGATGTGATTGAAGTTGTTAGAGAAAGGATCAAATACTTGAATAATTCAGAAGCTAGATTGAATGAGTTTAGTAAGATAAGAAAACAACTTCAATTGCCTACTGAGATGCTGATTTTAGACTATCCTATGTGTTGGAATGCACCATACTTGATGTTGGCTGTAGCTTAATAGTTTAAAGATGTTTTTTTCTAGGCATAAAGAAATTGATCCTGGATTGCGTTATGTTCCATCTTCTCATGATTATACGCCTGTCAATGGGTCGGGTTCAGGTTGGAATTGAAAATTCCAGACCCGGACCCATTTTAATGTACTAGACCTGAACTCGACTCGTATACCCAATCGGTCTTGGGCTTAAGATTCCAAAACTGGGTTCGACGGGTTTCGGGGTCGGGTCCGAGACTACTTGGAAAGAAAAGGCACAACATGTATCATTAATTTTCTTTTATCTATGTTAGCAAAAAGGCCCAACATGATCTCAGGATATTTAGCAAAAAGCACTTATGTACAAGTTGTGATGAATACATTTCGGGTCAAACAAGTTTGCTTCTTCCAAATCCTAATTTCTTAGATGCTTCATTTGGGATATGGGTAATTTGGTTAATTTGGTAAAAGAATACTTTTATTAATTTACTAAAATAATATACTTAGAAATATTTACATTTTATAATTATTAATATATTATTCGGGTTTGAGTTAGATATGGGTCAGAATCCTATATTCCATATTCGATCTACTTTTTTGTTAGAGCAAATGGGTATAGGTCTGGGCACCAGAATTATTTCTCAACCCATACCCAAAAATAATTACCTGATCCGGGCTAGGCTCGAGTCCAAACCCTACCCGTTGACAGCCCTACATTATTGAATAAAAGTAGAAGGAGTTTGTCAATTCCTAGGTGTTTTTCATGAAATTACTGATTGATATTTGGTTCCGAATATCCAACTACAAATATCTTCTTAGCTGAGTTAAAAAGGATCAAGGAACTTTTGAATGAGAATCTTTAGATTTGTCTGATCGTGTAAGGGCAATGGCTCCGAGTATGGCTATAAAATTTGATAGTTATTAGGGTGAATGTAATCTGGTTCTTTCTTTTGCTGCCATCTTGGATCCTAGATATACAATGGTACTCATTAAATTTGCTTTTAATGTGATGTACCCTAATGTGTAAGACTTGCCTCTTTTTGAGGCAATTATGACCCACATGATTGATTCTAAAGTGGTTGATATCATTATTCATTGATTGACATTTTGTCAATAATTAATTAGCATCTCCCATTAGATAATGATTGGTGATTGATATTTTGATTAATTGATTGACATTTTATCAATAATTAATTAGTATCTCTCATTTGTTAATGATTGATTGATATCTTTGTTAATTGATATCTTAATCAATCAAATCAATCAATTAGTCAGAAGATATTATCTCCAGTTATGAATTTTGGCAAGATTTCCTTGATGGAAGGAAACCCTAGGGATTTTTGTATTTGCTAATAAGGGTCCCTAGCCTAGCCTATAAATAGCCTGTGGTATTTCATTAATTGTACACTTTTGAATTAGGCATAGGTTAGAAGATTCTTACTCTAAATTCTCCTTCTACTTTTTCCTTCTTCTACATATTTTGTTTTTGTAGAATATACAAGAAGGAGTGAAAGACACAAGAAGAGATCAACTTGTACTTGACAACAGTGGTTAGAGGTAAGTATATTTAAATTTTCGCTGCGTAGTAAATTCACATGTACATAGTTAGTCAAACATGTGGTATCAGAGCCAACCTCTAACCATGTTGTTCAGGTTATAATTTCATGGTTTATTGGCAACCTGATAAAAGTTTTAAAGATTTACATCAAGTTTGAACGAATCGAATTTAATTTGTTATAGGATCTATGGTGCATTTTCTCAATAATTGAGATTTATTGACTAATCCTATGTATATGTATCATTTATATGATACCTTATTTGGTTATGCAATTCATCCAAATTTTCTCCAATAATTTGGTATGATTGCAAGTAATTTGAATGTTTCTCGGACTTACATATTTGTGATTGTAAGGGTTATATGTATTGATTGTTATTATCAATATAATATAACAATTCGAGAAACATATAAAGAGTTGTTATATTCAACAATCAAAAGATTAATATCATATTAATCTATGTAAGATAATTGGTTGACTTTATATGAATGGATTTGCAGGTTTATTGAATGTTTGCTACCTTATTATGAGATAAATATATAACGGCATGATTTCAATATGAATTTGGCTCCACGTTCCTATTGTTATTTAGAATTATGTAGTAGTTTGTGCACTACACTTATGTTCATTTATCTCATATTATAATGTCAACATTAGTATGGTTGATTACATTTAAATTTTAGAGAATTTCCTTTATGAATTGTGTCTTGCATCTCAATTATTTGATGCGTGAAGAATTTTAATCATATAAAGACTGATGGTTAAAAAAAAAGGAAATTATGAAATTCTTTGTCAAAATACAGATTTTTGACTATTTTGATATCCTTATAAAGTCTAGCACACTTTATGTTTGAGAGTAGGCATAGCATCTCAAACATTGGTATACTATAATTTTGATCGCATATAGTTTAGTGATTAAAATCAAGGATTTCTAGTCAACAAGTTGACTACTTATTTTCTATGAATTTTCATTAGAAGTTTTCTTACATCGTATATTTGGGAGTAGCCACAGCATCTCAAATATACGGTGTAAAAAACTTTAATGACATAAGAATAGGTTATTATAAAAGAAAAAGAAAATTCAATGAAATTCAGTCAACATAAAGTTTTTTGACTGTTGACAAATAACAAGATGTCATGCTAAGAATTTTACTTTTACATTACTACTTGGGAGTAGCCACAATATCCCAAATATTTGATGAGAAAAGTTTTTCATCACATATAGTTTGGTGATTGAAATTATGAACTTTTAGTCAATATATTAACTAGTTGACAATTTTTCTTATAATGCCGTATATTTAGGAGTAGCCACAACATCTTAAGTATATTGGTGTTTGGAGAAATTTTGTATTTCTTTTTCACATATTGCTAAGTGATTAAAGAAATTAAAAAAAAATGGCATCTATATCAAGTTGCAATTAATTCATTGAGATAGTTATCCGGGCCCACAGGGAGGTAATTATTTTGGTGAGATTAAGAGATATTTCTATGCTCACAAGTACGAATTATTTCTTTAATTCATTGTTCTAGATTACTAGTCTTATGATTAAGTAAAGTAAATTCTATGCATTTTACAACCTTTTTCCATAGAAAGGTTTGAATTTACTATTTGAATTGACATAAGGTTGATTCAAAATCAAGGTACAAATTTCATAGCTTTTTTATGATATAGTTCTTGATTGTTAATTCAGTATTTCATTCCAATGATTTTATGGTTCTTTTTTTTTTGACAAACGATAATGTTTTTATAGATATTAACACTTGATAGTACAAGGGCTAATTACAAAAAAGGGTAACTACCCCCATATCTTTCCTAGCTAAAGCTGAAAGCCAAGTTGGGAATGTACCTTCTCATTCAAAACTTCTAGTTGCCTTGACTACGAATTGAGCCAATTCATGGCTACAACTATTAGCAGTTCTGGGAACAAAAGAGAAAGTGCAACTTTCAAATCTTTTCTTCAGGACATCAATGTCATCCAGGAGTGTTTGGAGTCTACATTCCTGAACATTGTCCATATTGATGAGGCTCACAACATACTTGCAGTTAGATTGGACTTCTATGTTTGTCCATCCTGCACCTTGAGCCATTTCCAGCGCACCTCTGATTGCTAGAGTTTCCTCTGTGGCCGCTTCCCCTTTCCTCCTCTCAGTAATTCCCTTCGCTTTCACTATCACCCCGCACCAGTTCCTTGCAATGATCCCCAATCCTGATCTGACCATTTTAGCTGAAATTGCTACGTCCGTGTTGATCATCATTGTCCCTTCCTTAGGAGGCTCCCATCACTGCTGGACCCGTCTCTCTATTTCTAGACTTGAATTTGTTCTTGTGTCTGATTCATACACTACCTCATACTCGATCCATTCCTGCTGTGCCTTGTCTATTATTACTTTTGCATCCACTAACTCACTTTGGAATGTTAATTTGTTTCTAGCTTTCCAGATTTGCCATAAGAGGTTCACCGTAAGCCTGATTCTATCTGCTCCTTGTTTCTCCTTTGATGATTGCGTCATAGCTCCCCACTATCTCCACAAGTTACCTTGTAGTGTAACTAAGCCCTCCCACCTTACAGGAGCTAACTTCCATATCACTTTAGCTTTTGGGCAGAAGAAGAAAATGTGCTCAATGGTTTCCGTTTCCTCCTCACAGCAGTGACATATCATGTTACTGATTCCAAATCTCTTGTAGAGAACTTCATTTGTGGCCATTCCATTTTGCAGACATCTCCATAAAAAATGTTTCTGTTTCATCTTAACGTTTAGGCTCCACAATCTTTTCCATACTGTGTGCTTTCTAATTTCCCAGCTAGTTTCCAGATCAGATGCAAGTTTTCGATTCATCATTTCACTTTGCTCCTTTGCAACAACATATCCAGTTTTCACAGTGTAAATCCCAGACTTGCTATAATTCCAAAACAATCTATCTTTTCTATCATATAAACTAAGGGGGAAATTAGTAATGTGATCGACATCAACAACATTAAACCAGTGCTTCAAGAGATCATTCTTCCACTTTTCTCCCTCTATTAGCTCATGGACAAACTGGAGCTGACATCCTATTGGTTTAACCGTTGTTACTCTTCCATCAACCAAGCCAGGTATCCATCTATCATGCCAAATCTTCACTGACCTTCCATCTCCCACTCTCTTCCATAGCCTCTGTTGAAGTAGTTCTCCCCCCTTATGCATGCTTTTCCAACACCAAGAAGCATTGTTAGGTGGTTGTTGTCCTAACCAGGCATCCTCTTTCATATACTTAGCCTTCAGGACTTTGCTTACTAACAAATTTGGATTAGTAACAATTCTCCAAATTTGTTTTGCAAGCAGAGCCATATTGGAGGCTTCCAGGTCTCTAAAACCCATCCCCCATTTCCCTTTGACCTCTGAAAGTTTACTCCACCTAACCCAATGTACTTTTTTTTCAGATTCCCCACCACCCCACCAGTACCTTGCGATTCTAGCACTAATGGCTTTGCACAAACCTTTGGGTATTTTAAAGCAGGACATAATGTATGTAGGCATAGCCATGATACATAATGTATGTATCTAAGCAACTTTTGTTTCCATCCTTGAAGTTTACTACTAGTGTTACTCATCAAATACCCAAAAACCTGGTTTTTAGCTCTCCCAATGGTCATCGGAAAACCTAGATATTTACCACTATGAGCTTCCCTCATATTGTCCCAATACCTCACTAATTTCCCCTCTAAGCATCATGGGAGTATTTCTAGTAAAAAAACATGGTAGATTTGTCAAAATTTACCACCTGTCTAGTTGCTTGGCCGTAAAGCTGAATTATCTCCTTGATCTTCTGAGCTTCTTGTTTGCTAGCTTTACAACATAAGAGGGAGTCATCTGCAAAAAATAAATGAGACACCATGG